GGAATGTTGGCAGGAAAAGTAAAGGTACTGTTCTTCTTCTAGTTTTTTTTTTTTTTTTTTTTTTTTTTTTTTTGCCTTGCATCCAGGTGGTCTATCAACGGGCAGTCATGGCGGTTGGTTCTCTCACCATCAATGAGGAACGTTCTGAAGTGGTGGACTTCTCTGTGCCCTTTGTGGAAACGGGAATCAGTGTCATGGTTTCAAGAAGTAATGGCACCGTCTCACCTTCTGCTTTTCTAGGTGTGTGAATTTCATAATGACTATTGCTTTCCTATAAGGAATTGTAGGAAATCTTGTTTGCTCAGAGGATGGGACCGGAAAGGAACTTGTTCAGTTCCGTTTGGCCATGGCAGCATTTGAATTATCCTATGAGAGGATTAGGCTTTGTGTCCCTACCCAAATCTCATCTGGAATTGTAATCCACAGCTGTTGGGGGAGAGACCTGATGGGAGGTGACAGGATCATGGGGAATGTTTCTCCCATTCTGTTCTTGTGATAGTGAGTGAGTTCTCATGAGATCTGATGGTTTAATAAAGGGCTCTTCCCCCTTCGCTTCACTTCTCTCACGTGCCACCATGTAAGACATGCCTGCTTCCTCTTTTGCCATGATTGTAAGTTTCCTGGGGACTCCCCAGCCATGTGGAACTGTGAGTGAATTAAATCCCTTTCCTTTATAAATTACCCAATCTCAGGTTTTTTTTAGATGGAGTCTAGCTCTGTTGCCCAGGCTTGAGTGCAGTGGTGTGATCTCAGCTTACTGCAGCCTCTGCCTCCTGGCTTCAAGCGATTCTCCCACCTCAGCCTCCCCAGTAGCTGGGATTACAGGTGCCCACCACCATGCCTGGCTAATTTTTGTGTAGAGATGGGGTTTCACCATGTTGGCCAGACTGATCTCAAACTCCTGACCTCAAGTGATTCTCAGGCAGTTCTTTATAGCAGCATGAGAATAGACTAATACATCCTAATTCACTCCCCTCCACCCCCAGTTCACATCTTTCACTTGTCTTAAACTTGGAAAAAGCTGCTGAAAAAAATATGATCACATATTCAGATACTGGTCTTGACTCCGTAGAATGTAAATTAATAGATATATTGCTTAGAATTTTGAAAACATTTAAAAAATAAACCTGTCTGTCCACAGTTAATTTAAACCAGCTCATAAACCTTTATTCAGCATCTACATATCCATCCTCCATCCCACAAAGAACAGCAATCATTTATTTGCTCGATGTAAGAGTGGAAATAATGATGACTGTGCGATGATTTATGCCAGTATTCTGCTAACAGAAGTAGTCTGAAAAGTATACGCTGATTTAAAATTAATCAAATCATATTTTAATTGTGACTACCCATTAAGCCAAATGGTTTGTAAAGAAGGACATTCTTTTGATTTTTTTAACCATTTCATAAATTTATGTTTTCACATAAAAGGTTTTATTTTTTTAAATCAAGAAAGAGCTATATTTTCTATCATCTGCTTTTCTCTAGCACTCAGACTGTATTGGGTAACCTGGCTAGAGTAGCTGAAACTTCATGGAACATAGTAAAGCATTATTTTTGTCTTTAAAGGAAAGTGTTGTATTAACTGTTTGGTTATCATAAATGACTTTTGACCGTAACTATCTTGTTGAATATCATGAAATTCAGATCACTAATTCCCCCTTGGCACTCCCATATAAGTGGGTTTGTCCCAAATTAGGGAAGGTTAAGACAAACCTGAATCTCTGGAGGAAAACAGAGAGAGGCAAAATATTATATATTTAATTTTTTAAAAATTTCAATAGCTCAGGGGTACAAGTGGTTTTAGGTTATATGGACGAATTATATAGTGGTGAAGTCTGGGCATTTAGTGTACCTGTCACCTAAATAGTGTACATTGTAGGTAATTTTTCATCACTCATCTCCCTCCCATCCTCTCCCTTTTTGAGTCTCCAGTGTCCATTATACCATTTGTGTGCTTTTTCATACCCATAGCTTAGCTTTCATTTAGAAATGAGAACATGGAGTATTAGATTTTCCATTCCTGAAAAACCCATCCCCCAGTTCACATCTTTCATTTATCTCAAACTTAGAAAAAGCTGCTAAAAAAATAAGATCACATATTTAGATACTGGTCTTTACTCTGTAGAATGTAAATTAATAGCTATATTGCTTAGAGTCTTGAAAACATTTTTAAAATAAACCTGTCAGTCCACAGTTAATTTAAATCAGCCCATAAACCTTTATTCAGCATCTACATACCCATCCTCCATCTCACAAAGAACAACAGTCATTTATTTAGATGACTAGCAAATATTTAGGATGATGGCCTCCGGTTTCATCCAAGTTGCTGCAAAAGACATTGCATCATTCTTTTTTATGGCTGAGTAGTATTCCACAATGTATATACACCACATTTTCTTTATGCAGTCATCAGCTGATGGACACATAGGTTGATTCCATATCTTTGCAATTGTGAGCTGTGCTCTGATAAACATATGTATGCAAGTGTCTTTTTGATATAATGACTTCTTTTCCTTTGGGTAGATACCCAGTAGTGAAATTGCTGGATCAAATGGTAGATCTACTTTTAGTTCTTTGAGAAATCTCCACCCTGGGAAAACAGTTATATTAAGGTCAACTAACTTTCTTATATTTTTCCAGAGACAAAAATAACTTTATCTTTTAAAGCAAATTGTAAACTCAAACCAAATTGTGGACACCAACTCCAAGCCCATTGTCTTATTCTTCCACTGTCTTCATTTATATGTAATGTTAGCATCCAGTGAAACTTTTGTGTTTCATTCTCTTCAGTGAAATATTGACTAACAGGATTTTGGACACTGCCTTACATTCAGAGCTCTGTGGATTTACTGTTTTCATTTTCGATAATCCATTTAAGCTGTTAAAATCCCTGCCACTCTCTGGATTTGATTGTGCACTAGTTGCTTCAATTTTTGTAACCTTTGTTGGAGTAATGTGGACCCTGACAAATACCTCATTATGTTCCTTTTGTCCCTCTGTCTGACATGGATTCAGATACTCATATCTTAATAAGAGAGCCTCACTATGCCAGGAACAATGCAACCAGCTGATACTGACAACACATGCAGAATCTTAATAATTCTTAGGTGGACATTCACTAAATTCTTAGGTGGACTCTTCAGTCACTCCTAATCATGTTTCCCCTCATTCCCTTTCAGACTCTTTGGCAGGAATCCTTTGCCCTGGAGGTTAAGAAAGAGTTAGAGGAAGTGAGTTCATTGATCAAAATGGAAAGAAATCGTTTCTTTTTTTTTAGAAAAAAAAAGTATTATATTTCTTTAGTGAGCTAGAGAGAATTCTTTTTCCAATTCAGTCAGAGAGAAAAAAATATCAATTGGCTTGTCTCATGAAAATGGGTCACTAATATTGAATCTGGCCTCAACCCAGTTTCTCTAGATTTTTATCTTACTTGCATTTGTAAAACATTTCCATAAAAAAGTCAAGTATTTTGCTAAATTTAGCAAAACCTCTCTTTCCCCACACTTTTCCTGCTGCATTTTTTAAAGTAAAATAAATTGTAACCAGAGGAAACTATTTTCAAAGCTGTTTTTACACAGTCGGCTTAATATTTTTCCTAGTCACTAAATTACATCCTTATTTGATTGACTGTGCACCCCCTTATTTACGGTCATTATCTACAGATTTTGAAAGTCATAATGAACCATGCTAAGCTACATTTTTCCATTCACTGGCTCAGTCATCTGGAAGAGCCAAAACATTCAAAATCTGATTGTATTGCTCTTCATTATTTCCTATTCTCTCTCCTCCCCAGACTCCATTAACTCACATCAGAAGCACTTGCAGGTAATGCCTCTAAGCTTTTTGTGTAAAAATGTAACCAGTGGCTCTTCAAGGACAGAGATGGCATCTCCTGTAATATTTCTATCTAGCTAATTCTGAAGACTTTCCAAACAAGTTGGATTCTTTGATCCAAAGAAATGCTGACCTGGTATCTCCTCAATTGCAGTTCCTTCATGGACAAACATTGAATCTGTTTTAAACCATTAGAGGATGTAATAGAGAGTTATTTAAACTATTTCTGGGTCACTCCTTAGACACTGTAGACATGGCTTTAACGATGTTCTAATGTTTTTCTTTGTTGTGGGGCATGTGTCTGCACGCATACATTCACGTGTGTGGTATCTTAGAATAGCAACACTTTGGGGCACTCATACGTACTTACTTTACCAAAACCATAGTACTGCAGCAGATCTGTGCTGTGCTCACAAGTTAAGGAACAGATGTGGTCAGTTCCAAGTGGGGAGACATCTGGGATCGTTGCTTCATCAGTTTCCGCCTGATTTTCTGACTGGTGTGTTAGTGACAAGTATGCACCTGTCAAAAAAAGTTCACTGCAAGTTTACAGTTTCTTGCATGCACATAGGATAATTCAGTTATGGTCCCTTCTAATGTTTAAAAATAATGTTTTCACAGCCTGTGGAGAAATAGAAGTTACCAGATTAATAAATGTGCTCTTTCAAAAACCAGCATGCCCTTTTCAGAACCATGGACAGCGTATTGTTGCCCCAGTATTTCTGGCTTTAATCCTGGAATTAAACAGCTATTCCACTCAATATATTGTCGTATATTGTGTGCCTCACACACGAAAAAACACTTTCTTGTATATACCCATTTACTCATCACAATGATCCTCCTCCGATAAGACACACTATGCAACTCGGAGAATTATTTTATCTCTATTCTTGAATATGAAGTACTTTTAAATCTCCTAATCATTTATTTATCTAATTTCCTTTTTGGATACAACTCAGTATTAAAGTGCTGTTATTTCAGGGACATAATATTGTTTATTACTCAAGCTAAATTTAAAATAAATTTCAGTTGCAGTCTCATTGATTTCTTGGAGCACATCTTGTGTTACTTAAGTTGTGTTACCTGTTGCTTTTTAATATGTTTGCACTATCAAACTGCATTAGAAAGCATTCCTTACAGCTTTTAAATTATCCAATATAGCCAAAGTCAAGTTCAGACATATTCGTTTCTTTTTATACATTAAGCTCATTAAATTGGATTTTGTGATGACTTCTAACCGTGTTAAGTAGTCATACTCTAATAAGAAGGTGGCCTGCTATCAACCTAGTTCTTTATAAGTAGCTTCATTAGGAAAACAATTTTAAATAATATGTTTACTATTCAAGAGATATTATCAGACTTATTTTAACCCTCAGAAAATATTTGCTTATGAGGAAAAAGGTTTTAAGTTCATTGGTGTCTATAGGTAGTTTCTTCCCCATGATACATTCAGGTGGAGATTTATTCATTTTAAAAATTTATTTTCTGTTGATGTTGTAGCAAATCTATACCATAAATAAAATGGCTTCAGTCAGCTAATTTTCATATCCTCAATAAAGTTGAATAGAAATCTTATTTTACATAATATTTCTTACCTTTCTAGAGTGTTATAAGACTTACAGCCTTATGACTTGGCCTGCCCTTCTGACACATCCACCTACTGCTTAAGTTACATGCAAATGAGCTGATGAAAACTACTTTTGGTGGAAATAACCATCTATCCATCTACTATTTTATTGCCTCTACCCTTTAAGTGATGCTTTTTTTATTGAATTATCATGTGAAGATAATATTCTCAATTGACTTTCAATTGCATTTAAGGCTGCTACCAACATCAACAAGATTAATAAAGCGTAGCAATCTCATCTGTCTGAGGCAGAAGGTGAAATGGAGAGTGTGCTAGATTATAACTTTCCAATATTTCTGTCACCCATGATTTTATGATTCTTTTCCAACAGGTTATAATTCTCCCTTTATTTTCAGAATTTCCTGCATATCATCTTTCTAGCATGAAAAAATAACAAAAATAAAAAGAAAAACCACAACAATTTGCAGGAACCTATGGTTAACTATTAGGGCCTAGTCTTCTTTTTTTCTTCCTAGCTTTAGCCCCCTGGATGGTTCTATAATTGCAAAGGAACCTATGGCCAGTCTATTTGCATTCTAACTTGCTCCCTCTTTCTTATCACTCTTTTTTCTTCTGATTATCCTTGACCTAATTTGTAAAATGTCCTATGCTCTTGTCTATTTTTATTATATTATATGCAATCTTATACCTCAAATATTTTGTAGAATAAAGAATGATTTAAATTGATGAATAAAAAATGACTGGCTGGCCAGGAGCAGTGGCTCACGCCTGTAATCCCAGCACTTTCGGAGGCCGAGGTGGGCAGATCACCTGAGGTCAGGAGTTCGAGACCAGCCTGGGCAATATGGCAAAACCCCATCTCAACTAAAAATACAAAAATTAGCCAGGTGTGGTGGCACATGCCTGTAGTCCCAGCTACTCGGAAGGCTCAGGCAGGAGAATTGCTTTAATTTGGGGGTAGAGGTTGCAGTGAGCTGAAATTGTGCCACTACATTCCAGCCTGGGTGACACAGTGAGTGAAACTACATCTAAAAAATAAAAATAAAAATAAAAAACGATTAGCTTCTTTTGAAGGATCAGATTCAAATTAGAGAAAATATTTTTGGTGAGCCTGCAAATGGATGTCTGCGCTTCCTGCTGGAAGTGAGGAAGAGATAATTGACCACTTTTCCATTCCTCCATCTGTTTATTTGCAGAACCATTCAGCGCCTCTGTCTGGGTGATGATGTTTGTGATGCTGCTCATTGTTTCTGCCATAGCTGTTTTTGTCTTTGAATACTTCAGCCCTGTTGGATACAACAGAAACTTAGCCAAAGGGAAAGGTAAGGATACCTTCATGAGCATGATTCAATGTTGATGCAATTTCATTTACCTTTAATGAACATTTCAGGTTTAGAATACATTACTCTAGACCAGGCGTGGTGGCTCACGCCTGTAATCCCAGCACTTTGGGAGGCTGAGGTGGGTGAATCACAAGGTCAGAAGTTCAGAACCAGCCTGACCAATATGATGAAACCCATCTCTACTAAAAATGCAAAAATTTGCTGGGCATGGTGGCACACACCTGTAATACCAGCTACTCGGGAGACTGAGGCAGGAGAATCGCTTGAAACCAGGAGGCAGAGGTTGCAGTGAGTCGAGATTGTGCCACTTCACTCCAGCCTGAGTGACAGAGCGGGACTCCATCACATACACACACAAAAGAATATATTGCATTGGTGTACCATTGTATGAATGGTGTTTGGTCACTGATATTACTTGTAATGCCAGAAAAGTATGGTTTACGTACTTCGACTGAAGGATAAAAGAGAATGAAATATTTTAATCTTGTTATCACCTGAAGTCAATAGTTGTTAGGTGGAAACCACTGATGTTCAATTTGTTGGGAAAGCAGATTTGAAGGAGCTTTTCTGGCAATTAATTTAAAAGATGCATGTCAAAAGAAATGCTAAAATTGTCATGGGTTTCAACTTCAGTCTATGCAAAGAAAATGACTTTATAAAATCTAGTTTAAGAACATTCCTCAAACTACTGAATCAATTTACATTAGTTTGACAATAAATATAACTATGAAGTGATATCTTTCCCCCTAGAGTTATATTTTCCTCTCGGTGGTGCCAAGAGGAAATTAAGTGTGCTAAGACCAAGTGCATTGATCTTAGTGCACTGTAGTTGATAAAGAGACAATCAGTAGATAGGAAATAAAATTGGGAGGCATTCGTTGGCTATAACTCATTAAAAGGATCCCACTCTAGCCAGGGTTTATGTCATACACATTATGCCATTTTGAGTGGGCTTTCCTCAGTGGGCACTACCTTCTAAGTGGGTGTTATCAGAAAAGTGTCAGGACCAAATCTCTTTCCCAAAAAATGACTTGATATGGTAGAGGATGGAACTTGAAGTCTCATGTCCCCCTAAAAGCAGAGCACTTTAATGTGATTGATACATATTCTTTTTACTTGGATGTTTTAATGTTGGAAACAGTCAACAGGGCGTGGGAATCTATTAGGAACCTGGTTTTATTGAAATCTTTCAACTTCTTCCTCACCATTGAAGAGTGGTGATTACCACATAAACCATCTTCAATCAACCAAATACTAAACAATGCCATAAATAATGTTGTTGTGTTTAATGGGAGAGTGCAAGCCTTCATTTAAAGGGTAATTTAACCACTAAGAAGATTTCCAACAGGGTGGAATCTGAGACGTTTCTGTGAGTGACTTTACTGTGATACAGTAGTCCTTTACATTTGCATAATCAGGGCTTGTGCTGTTGTGAATTTACACATTTATCTGATGAATATTTATCAAATGGGTACTATGTGCCAGGAGGCACTATACTGCTGCCAGAGATAATGTGGTAAATCAAATAGAGATTTTCTATCAGGGAGTTTAGAATTTAGTTGTGAAAATAACATGTAGACACACAAATTAATAATCACAGATTATAATAAATATCAAGAAGAAGAAGAAGAAAACATAGTAACATGATAGTGATGGGGTGCAGACACTACGTTAGATAAGATGGTCAATGGGAAAGGATGTTCATTGAGCTAGGACCTGAAGGGTGACATACGATTGTATCTGTGAAAAACGGTTACAATCATTTCGTGTAAAAGGAACAGCAAGCAGAAAGGCTGAAATTAATCTTGAGATATTCAAGAAACGGAAAAAGGCTGAGGCTCATGCTTGTGGTCTCAAGGCTTTTTGAGGCCAAGGCAGGAGGATTGCCTGAGGTCAGGAGTTTGAGACCAGCCTGGCTAACATAGCAAGACCTCATTTCTACAATCAATCAATCAATCAATCAATCAATAAGTAAGCCAGGCATGATGATGTGTGCCTGTAGTCCCAGCTACTAAGAAGGCTGAGGTAGGAGAATTACTTGAGCTCAGAAGATTGAGGTTGCAGTGAGCTATGATCACACCACTGCACTCTAGCCTACTCAGCAGAGCAAGACCCTGTCTCTCTTAAAAAATAAAATAAAAAGACATCAGCGAATGAGGGAGACAATAGTATAAGACGAAATCAGAGAGATAGGCAATTGACCATGGTAACCATGTCAGACTTTCTTCAAAATACAATGGAGGGAGGCCAGGCATGGTGGCTCATGCTTGGAATCCCAGCACTTTGGGAGGCTGAGGTGGGCAGACCACTTGAGGTAAGAAGTTCGAGACCAGCCTGGCCAATATGGCAAAACCGCATCTCTTCTAAAAATACAAAAATTAGCTGGGCGTGGTGGTATGCTCCTGTAGTCCCAGCTGCTCGGGAGGCTGACACAGGAGAATCCCTTGAACCCGGGAAGTGGAGGCTGCAGTGAGCCGAGATTGTGCCACTGCACTGCAGCCTGAGCGACAGAGCAAGTCTCCATCTCAAAAAAAAAAAAAAAAAAAAAAAAAAAAAAAAAAAAAAAGGTGGGGAGAGAGGTGACATACATGTACAGAGCAAAAAAGCCACTGGGGCTACTCTATCTAGATAGTGTGTGGGGACGACAGTTGGAAGCGGGGGGATGGGGAGGACAGTTAAGAAAGTGTCACTTTTTCCAAGAGAAAGGATTTCTGTGACTTGGAACTGGTCAAGAAAAATGAAAATACAGATAAGCAGGTAAATCTGAGTTATACTTTGGAAGGTGAAAACGACCCACAGCCCATCCTGTGCAATACGTTCTCCTTTGACTGAAGCATGCCCGAAAGACTATTGTAAAGGACGGCATCAGTTATGCAAACTCCTCAGCCCTTCCATTCTCTCCAGGCTCTGTTCCCAGCTCATCTGCTGTGGCAGCTCTCGGGAGATGACAGTTTCTTGGTTTTTTGTACAAAATGGTTTTCTGTTACATTTCACTGCACTTTATGGGAAAAGTTATATGGCCCAGTAATGGTATTCATGAATCAGGAATTCCTAGAAGTCCTGGACCGATCCTTCTGAACTGCCTACATCTGATTCCCAAATAGCTGTCATTTCTGATCAACGTGCATCCCTAAAAAAATTAAGTAGTTCATAAAGTTGACTGGATTAACTCTAAGTTTCCCCCAAGAATTTCCTGCCTCTTGAGAATAAGCCCAGAAGATCATAAAACTAGCCAAATAGAAAGAGGAGAGATTGAGAATATGAGAATTAACTACCTTCTCTTTAATGGGTTGTGTCGTGGATATTATAAGTACTGCTGTAGCCTGGGTTCGGCCTCCAATGCGCAGAGAGCTTGCTTTTCCTAGGCTTCCTGCCCAACACTTCGTAACTTCCATTAATGTGAATTCGCTTCTGCCACTTTATTTATTGCCCACTCTGCTTGCATTGCCAGGTGACATCTGAGTAGATCATTTTTTCATATCTTCGTTTACTTAAATGACATAAAAGTTAACCTCCTGTTAAAGGAAAACCTTCTTCCCTATGAAATGAGGGCATAAATTGATTTTTTTTTCCTCGTGCAAAACAAAGACTTGAAAACCCTAATATGTGTGTTTTACAGCCTGCATATGCCCCATCTCCATGAATTTTGGCATATTGTTCTGTCTCTTTAGTTAAGTCTGTTGCAAGGAACATTTAAGAATCTTAAAAGGGCTGCATAGCTATTGCGAGGATATACTGGAAAAAAGTGCTGTGATATGACATCAGTGTTCATTTTCGATGCCCCTGCAATGAAATGTCTTCCATCTGTGAAGTGTTGGAAGAATTAAGATCTATTGTTCCATTCCTTAATGTCTCCATTTGGAGAGGGTTTTAGTTTGGTTTAATTCTTATGTTGTGCACACTTTACATCTGAGTTTGAACAGGAGCAATTGCTAGGGACAATCGGATTAGAATACCAAACATCAGCCTGCTAAATTGCATGGTTCCTATACGATAGCACATCCGATGAATTTGGAAGCAGTCCCCATGCACACATTTTTGTCAGGCTCTCTTTATGCTTATTAAGAAGGTTGGTTTCCTCAAATGGGAATCAAATCCAAATTTAAAACAGGTCATAACACTACTTCTTATTCAAACCCCCATTTTGCATAAGCATTTTCGTTTCCTTTCTTTTTTTAAAGAAATGTGGTAAAAATCCAGTTGGATAGAAATGTGAGAAGAATGCTAATTTTTAAAGAAAAAATAAATTATTGTGGTTCTAGGGCAATCACAGGACACAGCTATGATATAATTCCATCTTCTGGCAATCTTCAGTGTTGCTGGTGGCTGCTGCATGGTTCTCATACACATACAAATAGATGTTTTTTTTTCCAGAAAATGCTGAGAATGTCCTTTTTGTCATCTGCAGCACCCCATGGGCCTTCTTTTACAATTGGAAAAGCTATATGGCTTCTTTGGGGCCTGGTGTTCAATAACTCCGTGCCTGTGCAGAATCCTAAAGGGACCACCAGCAAGATCATGGTATCCGTATGGGCCTTCTTTGCTGTTATATTCCTGGCCAGCTACACAGCCAATCTGGCTGCTTTCATGATCCAGGAGGAATTTGTGGACCAAGTGACTGGCCTCAGTGACAAAAAGGTAAGGTCACCTTGCTTTCATCTCTATCTGAGGGTTGGTCTTAACTGCTCTCCTTTCAGGAGGAAGAGATTCGGGTGCCTCTCATTGAGATCCATCAACTCTAATACACAAAAACCGGAAGGTTTTTTTCCCTTTAACTCAAATTGGCATCTTTCTTATAGTTTTTGAAACACAACCTTAAGCTTAGCTTTCCTAGAGCTAAAAAATTCCAGATCTAATTTGGAAGCATGGCTTCCCCGAGTGGTCATGTTTCTTATTTATATGATCTTTCTGATGCTCGTGAATGGCCTGTGACTCAAGTCCTTAGATTGAAACTCATCCTTTCGAAAGTGTAATGTTGAGGAAGGCCCATTTGCCTGGATGAGAAGAAATTGGGGTGAAGGAGCACTGTAGGCTGTGGGTACCTCATCTATGACATGAAAAAAAGTCATCTCTAAGCCCTACCCAGAGATAAAGTTGTCTGACAGCTCCTCTTTTCCATACAGCCAAATCAGTCTCAGCGTCAGCGCTTCTGACTCACCTGAAATGTCTTCAAGGCACACAAAAGGAGCAGAGAGGTTTTTTTTGTTTTATTTTTAATTTCCCACTGGTTCCTTCTCCTCAGATATATCGCTAATCTTCCCTCGTGGGGCTGTACTTCCCACAGCAGTAAGACAGGAGTAAAAACACCTGCTCTCTCATTCTCCACTGAAATGAAATGTAACAAGGGCTGCAGGGTTTGAGTAGCTATTCAGAAATGCACATTGAGGAAGAAAAGAGGTAAACTGGGTGCATCCTCCTATTGAGACTTTAGTTCGGGAAACATCCTGGCTTGCTAAGCTCAGCAAGTGTTGAGATTGCAGCACCGCGAAGATTTTCTGTTCCGTGTGTGGGGGGATAATTTGTCTCTCATTATAAAACCTCACTAACATATCTGGTTGACATAAGTCTACATATATCCTTTTGGCATTCATCAACAAACTGCTGAATAGAAAAATCAATCCATGGAAAGCTTTTACAGCTTATCCATGGTACACACTGTGATTGAAAGAATCTTGTCAAGAGGGCTGATGAGGGGTTGGGGTTAAAGATGGAATCGTTTCCACAAAGGCATGGGAGTGGCTCGCCTCTCTCTGATGGTTTCCGATTGAGGCTTGAGTAAGGGTCACTCTACTTACCATGGCACACAAAGGCCTGTGTTATCTCACCTGTGCCCACATTTCCTTCCTCTTGTTCCATCCCTGTCACTAAGTTGATTTTCAGCTCAGTGGCCTTGTGCCTCTTATGCCCTCTGCCTAGAATGTTCTTCCCCAGTCTTCTCATGGTTGACTCCTTTTGGAATTTCAGGCCATAGAGAAGACATTACCTCCTCAGGGAAGTCTTTCCCGGCTACTGTAATAAACTTGGCAGAATGAGCTCAGGTTCCCAAGAAACGTAAATTCTAGTAGGAAAAAATAACAGTACACAAGTAAACATCAGGGAAGAAACAAATTTGGAAATTTGGGGCAGAAATAAGTTATAAAGAAGATAAAGCTGATGAGACTATAATTGTCTGGGGGAAGAGAACCTCGGGAATGTAGTTTGATAGAGTTGTTTTGCACTTAGAGGTGCTCAGGACATTCTTGCTGGGTGAATGAATACACACATGGTATACTGGACAGTGTGTATACCCCACCTGGATCTCCCAGGATCCCTTTTGCAGCCCTGTGTGCCCAGCCCCACCTTTCCATGCTTTGCTGACAAAGCCTCACTTCAGGGATCCTCAGCGGGCTTTTGCCTTGGGGCACTGGAATGGTAAATGCCTGGCAATTTAAGTTCCCTCAGTGTTTGTGGTCACCTGTAACCAAAGACTAATCGGTGTGAGAATACAAAGGCCCAGCTGCTCCCTCACTTTGAAGCAGGAGAAACTTTAAGGTACGAATCACTCTCTGGAGCTCCTTGCAGGACTAGACGGAGATGGAGACTTGACCTTAAATCAGACCTTTGGTTTCTCCCCGTTCTCCAGTCTTTCCTAACTTTATCCTGCTCCCCTGCTGACTTCTCCTGGAACCCTTCACTAGTAAATCATGCTCACCCCGAATCCTTCACTTGGGGTCAGCTACTGTAAGATCCCCGCTTAAAGCGGGTGGTATCTCAGAGGCAGCAGATAACGCACTGCGTTTAGAGTCAGAAAAGTTGCGTTTCCTCTCTGCCTGTTTCCTCTCTGCCACTCGCCAGCCATATAATGCTTTTAAAGCCATGTTGCCTCACGGTGCCTGCTTTGTCTGCTGTATACATTTGGGAGTCACAATTGCAGTGAGGATGAAAGAAAGCCACATATGTAAATGTGCCTTGTAGCACATGAATCCCTCTGCAGATGCAAAGTGCTATTATGCAACTCCGTCGCCTTATGGGATCAAAAGTGCAATTCCTAGAAGTGATTGGAGGTATGGTGGAAGCAGCGGGAAGCCATGTCCTGGAAGAGAGGATTTTTCAAGAAAGTGATTGGCAGCATATTTTGCTTTTTGTTGCTATTTTCAAAGGCAAGGTGGGGAAAATCCTTACTACATAGTTTTGGGTCTAAATAACATGACCACTTGTGGGAAAACTAATTAAAACCACTCATAATTTGACTGACCTTCACTGACTTGGAAACACCCGGTAACAGATACCATATCATCAAGAGACACAGCTCAGTTTCCATGCTCAAAGCATTAGAGGCAAACTGGTAGCTCTTTTAATTAAATGTTTGATACAATGAGATAAACAGCAAAATTCCTGGGGTAAATAAGCTAAATGCTCCCAGAAGATTAATAGAAGATACACCAAGAAAGTCTGCAAAATAAAAAATCTGTATTGAATCAATTTATTGTACACTGTGGTTGGTTTTGTTTTTGTTTTTTGTTCATCATGAATACCTGTGTAACAACTCGGGTTTACAATGCTTTTAAGCCATTAGTCCTTGCCGTGAAGAATCATATTGGAGCCCATGGTGTGCTCAGATGAGCTGGGACTTAAATTATAAATAGGTGAATTCATGGGTAAGATGCTTCCCTAGGAATTATTAAGAGAAAATTGCAATGTTGATAGGGATGCTTTCCAAAATGTTGGGAATCACTCTGATAGAGGAAATCCATCTCTGGGAGGCAGATTTATGTTGTGGAAAGAGCAATATCATGTTTGGGGTCAAATGGACCTGGGTTCAAATCCTGGCCTTGCCATATGATTGGCCTTCTGTATGTCAATATCCCCCTAGGCTTAATTTCCTGTAAAAAAGAAGACATTATCTCCTTTCTGGCAAGGTTGATAGGAGGATTAGAAATAATCCTCACACCATGCCTGGCACACGGTAGATGATCCTGTAATGTGTTATTTCCTTCTTCTACCCTCCTCCTTTCCACTCCCCCCTCTCATTCCTCCCCCTCTCCTTTCTCTTTGTCTCCCTTCTCCTCCTACTCCTTCCATCATCTTCATCATCACCTGACTCGAACCATTCTTGGCTTCTGGGGCCTGAAATGTTATTGCACTGAGTTGGTCTTTTGTGACAACCAATGGAGGGAATTGAGGGAACTTCTCTCAGTGGATGAGCCGAGGAATGTGTTCTCAAGGAGCCGTGCTGTCTCTGGGCACTGTGCTGCTGCTGCTGAGTGGCCCCAGTCCAGGCAGCCAGGTCTCCTCCCAGCTCATCCTCTCTCTGCTCAAGGACACACCTGCTTGCTGCTCACATCAAGAAGCACGTGGGACTTCACCAACAGAAGACTGTACTAGAAATAGGGGCTCCAGTTGCCAGATGTCCCTTATTTACAGGCACAGAAGACAGATAGATATTTTTAATAAATGTGTAGCTTTTGGTTCATAAAAAAGAGAAAAAATGTCTTGGTTAATTGCTGCATTTTTCTGGAAATTTTATCTCCAAGTGTTGCCTCTCTACCTCCTCCATCATCAAATGCTTGCCATGTTTTAGTCACTCGGATGACCTTCAGACATGTTTCCATATTGGATGGGAAAAAAATTAGAAAATAATCCTCTGTTCTCCAAACTGTAAGGAGCCTGGCTTCATTGTTTGGCTGAAATGATGTGTGATCTATCCCAAGCATTAGAGGATGCCAGGTGTTCTTTCAAGCACTTTAAGATTCGTTGCAAAAGCGATCTGCAATTTACAGATAGAGAAATTGAGGCTCAGGAGCTTAAATGGTTGCTCCAAATGGTGCAGTTTCTAAGCAGCAGATGAGAACCTGAACTTGTCTCCTCTAAGTCCAAAGCCAGGTGAAACCAGTTAACCTATACAGCAAGGGAACCCTGCAGAGAAGACAGGGGAGTTCCTCTTGACCCCGGATATTGTGATTGCATTGTTCTGTGGTCTTGCTGACAATGGAGACCTCTGTCCTACCTCTTCCTTTGCTAAAGCCCATATTGGTTTCTTTCTGCTTGCACGTGGAACTCTCTGGGAGAAAGTCTTGCTAGGAATCATTCTCATAGGAAGCACGGAGTGTGTCCTGGATGTTGACCCTGGGATTTAAGAGTTGAGCCATCCTTGCCCCCTCACTGTTTTTCATGCTGTAGGTCATGACTCTTTAGTGAGCCATGAAATTAGTCTAAGGATTGCAGACATTTTTAAAAAAATAGAACATAATGGATAACCTCAGAGTATATCACAGAAAGAATGAGTGCTGTGAAATTTTGCGCGTGTGTATGGAGTGGTGATGGGAAACGTATTGTGAGTCATGCTTTTAAAAGTTTGACAGTCTTTAGTCTAGTGGAAAAGATTTCTGGAGCTTGGTGTCAGGCTGAATTTTGTGTGGGTGATGGTACTATCCAGGCCAGAGAAGCGTGGAAACCATCACAGAGACTGAATATCTGTCTTTGTCACTGCGCAACCCAGAGGCAGGGAAGAAAGTGAATTTTTAAAGACCTATGCAGCTCCTCTGCAACAGATGGGGAGTGAAGTGGAAGGCATTTAGTCAAATAGGCCATCTCCGGATGTCTCTGGAGATTGGGAACGGCTGCTACAATGAGATTTATGAACAGCACTATTCCCTCTCTCCTCCCAAGCAGGCGGCTGCCATGAGGATGAGCCTAGACTTGGCCTTTTAAGCTTTTGGTGATGAGTTAAGGCACTGTTTGGCAGAGTGACTGCAAAAAGCATTTTGCTGTTCACCTACACACACATGCACACATGGACGCACATACTCCCAGAGCAAGGCACGCCCTGGCAGGAGGATCTCATTTGTCCAATGAATGGCCACTTCTCCCAAATCCAGTTATGACTGCTTATTAGGTAGCAGCATGCCTAATTTAGGGAAAACGATTTTCAACTGGAAATTTTAATTAACGGTGAAATGAAGTGTGAGTCTGGAAAAAAGAATAATGTTTCTAGCTGGTCTGACTCTTGGGTAAATCTGGATGCTTACCCTGGCGGTTCTTGGTTCCATGGAAGATACACTGGTCTGGAAGTTAGAGAGACTGCTGCATTGTGGTCCTGGTTCTGACACTGATTTTCTGGGTGTTCTTCCCCTCCTGGGGTCTTTAAATCTTTATGTCTAGATGAGGAGAGAGTCACTAGCAATGGTCTCTGAGGAACGATAGAGTTAAGACCTCCGCCTGCGGTCAGACGCATCCAGGTTTGAATTCTGGGCCACTGCTTGGTAGTTACATTATCTTAAATAGGTCACACAACCTCTCTGAGCCTCAGTTTTCTCATCTGCAAGAAGGAGCCTCTAAGATTAACTACCTGGCATGGTTTTGTAAGGATTAAATGACCTGATGTTTGTAAAGTTCTTGGCATAGTGCTGGACCCGACGAGGTTCCCGAAAAGTGTTAGTCATTGTTGTTATTACTTTCTAGTTCCAGAATTCAATATTTCATAGAAAAGTGAGGTTCAGGTTCCTTTTTCACGCTTAATGACAATAACAAAAGGTAATCATAAATATATTTTTGAATGCTTCCTGTAGTCCAGGCACTATTACAGTTACTTGACAAACGTATGTTGAGATCTTCCTGGTGGCCCCCCACTCTACAGATGAAAAATAAAGGGAGGCAGCATGAAGTGAATGTGTTATCTAGGGTTCTGTAGCTTGTATGTGATAGAACCTGATTTTCCAACCAGCCAGTTGGAGCTCCCACTTATAACCACAGCCCGGTGCCATCTCTAGTGTTTAGCTGTATTTCTGGAACTCAGATCCAGTTTTCTTGACTTCGACTCTCATTGAGTCACCTGAAACACTGAAGTGGTAGACAGACAGAATCATCCAGTCCATCAGGGAAGACTGGTGATGCGTGGTCTACAGGCCTTTATGGGGGGCTTGAGAGCCGAGTGCTGGGCATCCCTGAAAGCTATAGATAAACAGGGACTCTGGCTCAACAAGTATTCATGGAACCTGCCATGCACTGGCAGTTATGCCTGGAGAATGTTAGGCACTAGATAAATAGTGCCTGCAGGAGTGAATGAATGACTGAGTGAGTGGAGAATGAATGAGTGGTAATATATAGTCATTTTCTGGGTGAGGTGAAGGTAATTATAAATGGAGTTTAGAGAAGGGAGTGATTGGTGGAGATCACAGAAAATTTCATCATGAAGTGGATAAATGGACTGGACTAAGGTAGTACCTTAAGTTCAGCTCATTCAGCATTTCTAAGCACTGACTGTGTGCTTAACACTGTGCTAGTCTCTATAATGGCACTGAAAATTTCAACTCAACAAGTATCTATGGAGCACCCAGCCAGGCCCTGTGCTAGGACCTGAGCAATAGTACAGAAGAAAACAGATGCTGGGTCCCCCCTCCTGGAGCTCACAGACTGACTGAAGATGTGATTAAGTAGAAAGAAAGACCAAAAAGTAACATTTTATTGTCATCCTGCACTAATGCGTGTGTTTAACTCCTAACACCAGCCGAAATGATCACTGATTTCTCATTTGTTCTCTCCTCCCCCTCCTCCCTTCTTTTCCTGCTCTCTCTCTTCCTTTCTTGTTCCCTCTCCAGTTTCAGAGACCTCATGACTATTCCCCACCTTTTCGATTTGGGACAGTGCCTAATGGAAGCACGGAGAGAAACATTCGGAATAACTATCCCTACATGCATCAGTACATGACCAAATTTAATCAGAAGGGAGTAGAGGATGCCTTGGTCAGCCTGAAAACGGGGTAAGGATGGCAGTTTCCTTTTCTCCACAGGTCTGCGGGTGATAAACCTTAGAGAAATTGACTCTTGGCATGCCTCAGTTCTTACCTGCTCCCATTGTTGTATTTCTGGAGAGTAACTGTGGTCCAGATGGGCCCCAGTTGAGGGCTATTTTTGTTAATCTAATGAGCATCCCAGGTTTCCTTCTGAGCTGGGTTAAGAAAAAGCAAATCCAGGATGCTTTGAAATGCACAGAAACAGAGGGGTTTGTTAGACTGATAAAGAAGTTTGTCCAACTCCATAGGAGATTTTAACCAAATAGAAAGATCCAAGAAGGCTGAGAGTTTAAAGTAGTGAAAACAAAGATTTTTATCTGATTTTAGGTAGGAGGTTTTCTGGGAGTGGTGAGGAGTAGCTTGCTCGTAGGAGCTTTATGAAAAAACTAATTGTATAATATTGATGAAAGAGAAAGAAAAGATGGGAGAAAAGCAATGAGAACTCAAATCATTTAAGTTACAGCTAGCATTCCTGTCTGTCTGTTGGCATTGTGGAGTGTAACACAGACTCCATAGCTGAAGCTGTAAAGAAAAGATAGCACAGGGGTTAGGAGTTTAGACTTCGGAGAGAGAGTTTCTTATACTTCATAGCCTCATACCTAAGATGGGAATAATAATAGGACCTAAGAGAGAAAATCTGATGGAAAGCATTTTGGATGGGAAATAGACAGTACCTAAATGTGAGTGTTGTTATTTATTGTAAAGGTTAAATTCTATTCCGTGGACTCTTCCGAAAAGTCGGAAAAGCATGAAATCCATTTTAGAAAGGATTAAATTCAATAAAAATGATTTTATTTTCAATGACAGAGTTATTTAATGAGGGAATTTTGATTATCCAGAAAATTAGCTTGTATAGGGCATTTCAGTTGTCAGATTCCTGCATGGAAACGTGACTGCAGGTGTATTCTCCTTGTGACTTAATAAATAACCTCCTCTTCAGCTATTCTGCAAGCCCATTGTGAAGGCCTCACTGCTGGCTTTGTGTCTGGTAGGGGGAGACAGAGGCCCCTCTAAAGCATCAAAGCTCGGATTTCTGCATAGAAATCCTGGTCATTTTGGCTGTGAGCATTCTGTCCTTTCAGTCTGTGCCTTTGGAATCTCTTTGGCATCTCAGCAGGGGCTGGGAGAGCATTTATTTAGAAACCGAGTCTATGATTTCTGAAAAACTCATTCCCCCAGTGCTCATTCTGGCTTGGAATGATTTCTTTAAACTTTTGAAGTATAACAAAAACGCAGAAAATTCACAAATATTAAATATGCTGCATTATGGCTTTGTACAAACCGATCATCCAGGTCATCAATCCCTGGAACCCCACCCCACACCCTCTTTCAGTCAATATCTTCCACCTGCCTCCTGCACTTCTAAAGCTGTAGATTCTTGGTGCCTGCTATTTTAACATAGAAATAAAGCCACACTCTTTTCTTTTTTGTCTTCTTTGGCTCAACATTGTGTTTGCAAGATTGTTGCTTGTAATTTCAGTGCTTTCATTCTCATTGTTGGAACACACCACACATGGATGTCTCTCTCCTAATCTTGATGGACATTTGGGTAATGTCCTGTTTTGGGGCTACTATGAATAATGCTTCTTTCATTAATGAGTGAGTGAATTTCTCTTGGTATACACCAAAGACTGCAACTGCTGAGCCATAGAATATTTGTGTCTTCCACTTTCATAGATACCGGAAAAGATCCATTGTTGATGACTTTACAGTTTAGCCATGGGGTTGGGATTTCTGTTTGTTTGTTTCCATTGAGGTCTTTTAATCAACATATACTGTCGTTTTGGACAGACCATGAGCGCAAATGCAGATGATAATGGTTGGAGACAATGGTTGATGCCTAGCTGACTTTCTCTCCCTCCATTTATTAACCAGAGTACAAAATGGGTTGTTTTCTTTCTTTTTCAATCTTTTTAAAAATATAATAGCAAAAAAAAAAAAGAGAGAGAGAGAGAGAAATGGAAACCATTCGTGACCATAAATTGTACAAATTGTTTTCTGGAAGCCATATAATAATTATAACATCCATCTTAGAAAACTTGGGCAGATGGCAGATTCACTCTATACTCAATCTCCTATGTGGGGGATGCTTTGCATTGTTACTTTAAACTCAGAAACTAGAGCTGAAGGAGTACAAGTATTTTTTATTTTTTTATTTTTTTATTTTTATTTTTGGAGATGGAGTTTCACTCTTGTTGCTCATGCTGGAGTACAATGGCGCAGTCTGGCCCCACTGCAACCTCCGCCTCCCAGGTTCAAGCAATTCTCCTGCCTCAGCCTCCTGAGTAGCTGGGATTACAGGCGCACACCA